TCTAATAGCATCCTTATATATATATATATGTATATATATATATATATATGAAGAAGCCCTAAGGAAATTATATTAATTTTCAAAAAAGGTTACAAAAATAGATGTAAGGGAACCACTAAAAGATATAGTATCCCTTCATTGATATACAACTCATTCAAGAAAACCTCCAAATAAAAAAACATGTATACCCGAAACATAGTATCCCAAAATCATTGATCCAATAAAGAAAAAAAAACCCAGGAAAACCTGAAACATCCTAAAAACATGAGTGATAACCCATCAGTAAGCGAATCTTGAAGCAACACAGAATAAATGGAAAATTTCATCTAATAACAACATCCTAGCCAACAAGAAGAAGTGAGCAGAGAAAGCCAGATTTCCAAATAAAGCAGCTCCAACTGATAGAAGCCAAGTCCCATCTAAAAGAAGCTCCTAGAAATACAAATTGACAGTCCTCCAAAGAAACCAAATCCACAAAAAATAGCGCCCCAGCCTGCCAGAAATAATTAAAGAGAACGGGACAAAACCAAAGCAATAAAGTAATAATCGAGTCTCTAGATATGCCCAAATGTGTATAAAGCAACCAAAAATAGCAACAAAAAAAAAACAATTGGCAATCAGACAGCAAAAAAAAAATTGAAACCTAACCAGCTTCGGGAAAACACAGAAAATGAAGTAACAACATAAGCAATAAGCAGAAGAAATGTGTAGAGAAGACTAAGTCAAATATGAAGAGATCAAATTCATAAAGAACATTGAAACTAGCAACAGAAATAGACCCAATAAGCAAGTAATTGACTTGTAATATACGGAATGTGTAACATGTAACCATCTAGAAGTGTTCGAAGCTCCTTAGAAGGTTTAACACCGACTAAATAACCCCTCTTAGCAAGCCAATCAATAGATGAATTACCTTCCCTACAAAAGAAAATCCACTTAATAGTAAACTTATATGTATCAATAATGCTCCAAGTTCTGTTAAGACTGATTATCAAATTCCATATAGGCTCCTTTTTTCTAGAAATAAAGTCCAAAAGTAGAGTATAATCTGTTTCGATCATAAAGAGGGATTAGTTAAAAATGACAACATTAGATAATGCAAACAAAATAACCCGGCATTCTGCCTCAATAGGAAAGGTGATAGAAAAAGAAAAAGAAAAATAACATAAGCATTTCCCAAGAGAAT